TCCGCGGCTGTCGTCATGTTGACTGCTTCTTCTGGATGGAGGTGGGCCGCACCTCCTGCTTTGGCGCCGGCGAGATCAACATGCAGCTCGAGGAGCGCATCTATGCTCAAAACATGCACGAAGTTATGAAGGCCAAGTTTAAGTAAGTTGGAATTGAAGATGGTAGTCCCTGTTTCATTGTTATTCATCTTGGCACGCGGCTCTCAAGCTGCTTCCCAGTAAGACATCGCTGTTATGAGAGAGTGGCGTGACAACTGTGTTGGTTTTCTAGTCGTCCATGAGGCCAAATGTATTTTTTAAAATGCATTTCTGCTGTTTTTAATTTGCTTGAACTGTAGCATGCAGTGCATGTAACGGATGGTGTCAGTATTGTATTCATCGCACATAAGGGCTAGGAGGAATCTGAAAGCCTCCGTAGGAGCCGTTCGGAAATCCAGGCGACCAATTCGTTTGTCTGCATCTCCAACTGTCGGCGGGATGCGGTCGCCAGCTCCCAGCGAGTCGGGGAGCTGCGTGACCGAGTGGTGGCCGTGTCTATCGCCGTGCTGTGCTGTCGTCAGCTCCCGCAGCAGCGAGTCGGAGAGCCAGACGGGCGAGTCGCGGCCGCGGGCGCCCTCCGCCTCCGAGCCGTCCCGGCCCATCTCCGTCAAAGGTCGACGAAACACCTACTCATGTGAGAGACAGAGACGCACCGGCCCGCTCCTCGTCCGCCGCCGCCCCGCCTCTCTCCCGGACCGCTGCCCATTCTCTCGCTCCGCCGCCCCGCCTGGATCCCCGCCTCTCTCCCGGACCGCCGTCCGTTCTCTCGCGCGCCGCCACCCCGCCTGTCTGATCTCCCCGCCTCTCTCCCGGACCGCTGCCCGTTCTTTCTCGCGCCGCCGCCCCGCTTGGATCCCCGCCTCTCTCCCGGGCCGCCGTCCGCTCTCTCGCGCGCCGCCACCCCGCCTGTCTCATCTCCCCGCCTCTCTCCCAGACCGCCGTCCGTTCTCTCGCGCGCCGCCACCCCGCCTGTCTGATCTCCCCGCCTCTCTCCCGGACCGCTGCCCGTTCTCTCGCCCGCCCGCCTCCGTCTCTGTCTCTCAGCTTGGGCGCCTGACTAACGCCTGACGCCTCGCCGCTCTGACCTGACCTGACCTGACCTGACCTGACCTTACCTGGCCTCTGGGGCTGCCGGCCGGAGTGGGCCTCTGCGCCGCCGTCGCTGACGGCTCCCGGGTGGGGAGGGTGGGCGCGGACTGACCGGGGTCAGACGGGCGCTCCGGGAGGAGCTGGCTGCGTCACCCGGCTCGGCACAGAGGCCGCTGCGAGCTAATCCTAACGCTGTAAATAGTACGGAGTCCGCGCGGCGTGCAGTCGTTATGCATTCCATGGCCTTTGTCGCGTATGTGGGTGAGGCTTGAACAGCGGTTCATTTAACGTAACAGGTAGCTGACGATGACACTGAAAGGCTGGTATCTGTCTAGTAAAAACTGGCATTCTTATTGGACTGTCACTAATTCTGTGCATTTAGGTCTGACGTACAAAAGTCCGCCACTGCGTGCCGGGCGAGCAGAGGCTCTCGCACCGTTGTGCAACGAATCACTTCATTCTTCGCTGTAGAATAACTCGAAGTTTGACCACGGCCCCCACTTTTACATAGGGGACTGCAAGCACAGCAATCAGTTGATTCTAGCACACACATCTTTCCGAAGGAGAGATGGCTCGTTGAATACAAATTGGTGGTCTGTAGATGGTCACAGATTGCGCCTCCCATGTGTGGACGGGGCTTCGGCTGGGTTTTGTGGCTCGCAGATGATGTGCTGTATGGACTGGGTCTAGTGTCTGGTGTTGCTGCGCTGGGGCATTTAACCACGCCAGTGTTCGTGTACCGCAAACCGTGTATTTGCTTCCTAACCACGGGGCCGACGTCGGTGAATGCTGGACCAACACCGGACACGCTGCTATTGTTCGGCTCCGCCGTCACTGCTCGCATCGTACCTGACCAGCTGATTGTGGGCGCGATAGACATGTCAAGGCCTCCGTTTATGAGAGGTCAATTTGTATGTCTTGTGTCAGTACATCGCTGCTTGGTGTTGCAAATCCAACGTCACACATATGCACCTTGAGCCGTAATGTTGTGGACCCTGAGCAACGCTGTACGCACATGTGTGTGGGTGTGGGTGTGGGTGTGGGTGTGGGCGTGGCGTGGGCGTGGGCGTGGGCGTGGGCGTGGGCGTGGGCGTGGGCGTGGGCGTGTGTGTGTGTGTGTGTGTGTGTGTGTGTGTGTGTGTGTGTGTGTGTGTGTGTGTGTGGGTGTGTGCGTGTGTGTGTTGGCCGGCGGCGGGGATGGTGCGTCCGTATCTGTACGCACATGTGTGTGTGTTGGCCGGCGGCGGGGATGGCGCGTCCGTATCTCACCTCGCCGCACATGTGTGTGTGTGTGTGTTGGCCGGCGGCGGGGATGGCGCGTCCGTATCTCACCTCGCCGCACGTGTGTGTGTGTGTGTGTGTGTGTGTGTGTGTGTGTGTGTGTGTGTGTGTGTGTGTGTGTGTGCGTGCGTGCGTGCGTGCTTGCGTGCGTGTGTGTGTTGGCCGGCGGCGGGGATGGTGCGTCCTTATCTCACCTCGCGCCCTGACGGACCCCGCAGCCAACAACTCGTCCCAGACGTCGGTCAACACCATCTCGCTGTCGACGACGCCCGGCCGGGACCGGTCCGGCTCGGTGCCCAACCGACCGCGTACCACCAGCGAGGGTAACAGCGACCGGCACCACGGCCCACAGCAGGGGTACGTACCTCTGACCCTGTCGCGGCCCGCCGCAGGTGCACGTACGTCCTGACCCTTACACGGCCCGCCACATGGGCACGTACCCCCGATCGTCACACGGCCCGCCGCAGGTGCACGTACCTCTTGACCCTTACACGGCCCGTCATATGGGCACGTACACCCGACCGTCACGCGGCCCGCCGCAGGGGTACGTACCTCCTGACTCTTGACGCGGCCCACCGCAGGGGTACGTACCTCCTGACTCTGACACGGCCCACCGCAGGGGTATGTACCTCCTGACTCTGACACGGGCCGCCGCAGGGGTACATACTTCCTGACCCTGGCGCGACCCACCGCAGGGATACATGCCTCCCGACCCCCACACGGCCAACCGCAGGGGTACGTACCTCCCGATCCTGACACGACCAGCGACCACCGCCATGGTCCGACGCATGGGTGCACCTTTTCACCACAGCCTAGGGTGATGTTGAAGTGTCAGAGCAGGTGGCAGGTACGTGGGGCATGCTCTAACGCTCACTGTGGCCATCTGCGGGTTTGCTGGTCAGTGTCTGTGCTGGTCGCCGCGTGGATGCGGGGCATGACACCGGCTGACGGTGGGCCGGTCGGCCGGCAGGCATCACACGCGCGCCCGGGCCGCCACTGACGCCCGGACGCACGCCATCCACTCGCGCAGCTCGAGCATGACGGCCGGCTCACCGCCGCTGCTTGGCAGTCCCTTCAGGTCAGTGATTCGGCGCTCCCGCAGCGGCCAAGTCGGTGGTGGGCTGTCCCCTGAGCGGGTAAAGGCCGGCCGGGGGGCCGTAAGGTCAGGTCAGTGACTCGTCATCCAAGCCTGCTCAGGTTGAGGGCGCGGCTGCGGCGCGATGCTCAGGTCGGCAGCGTCTCTAAAGCACGTCGAGTATAGAAACCGGGACATTGCTGCAGCCTTCCCCCGCGCTGCGACCGGGGCAGAAGCTGACCGTTCGGTATGAAAGCGTGTGCCACCCCGCAGCCTTCCCCCGCGCTGCGACCGCGGCAGAAGCTGACCGTTCGGTATGGAAGCGTGTGCCACCCCGCAGCCTTCCCCCGCGCTGCGACCGGGGCAGAAGCTGACCGTTCGGTATGAAAGCGTGTGCCACCCCGCAGCCTTCCCCCGCGCTGCGACCGCGGCAGAAGCTGACCGTTCGGTATGGAAGCGTGTGCCACCACGCGGCCTTCCCCCGCGCTGCGACCGCGGCAGCAGCTGACCGTTCGGTATGGAAGCGTGTGCCACCACGCGGCCTTCCCCGCGCTGCGACCGCGGCAGAAGCTGACCGTTCGGTATGGAAGCGTGTGCCACCACGCGGCCTTCCCCCCGCGCTGCGACCGCGGCAGCAGCTGACCGTTCGGTATGGAAGCGTGTGCCGCCCGGTCCGCCCGTTCCCGCCGGGACGCTCGGCGCCGGCGTCTGCCGCTGCCGCCGCCGTGTTGGCGGCGTCGGTGTGCGAGCCTTACCCGCGTGCCGCCGCCGCAGCCCGGCCTCCGTGGAGAGCAACTCGTCCTACAGCATGGACGAGCAGCCCCCCATGTGGCCACCCCATCACGCCGGACAGCATCATCGTGGAGGAGACGGGCGATTACCTGCCAGGTGCGTGGCCCGGCCGGGGACGGGCGGCTGCCGGTCCCCAGGACCGCGGGAGCTCCGGGCGCGGCGGGACTGGGCTCCAGGGACCGGGGCACGCTGGTGTCAGCCAGGTCACCAATTAGCTGGTGGTCTGGTCGCGAGCGCCTGAATTATGTCCGTTGGATGTGGCAGGCTCGCATTTCGGGAACATTGATTGAAGTCGCGTACTGTGTCTGCACTGTAATCCTCGTACGCAGGTGACGTTTGGTACTCTTCGGGGTGCTGCGTGCTCTGCGCACTTGTCTTGATGTCCAGGGCTGTGGCCGCGTGCCGCCAGTTGATGCGCCTCGCTGTAGGGCGCGTAGGGTCCAGTGTGCAGCGGTCCGGCACGGGTCCCCCCTTGTCGGTGGACTCGACGACCGTATGTCGGTTCTGATCGCGTGTGCCCGTGCTGGCCGCCAGTGAACCCGTCGCGGGCGTTCGGGCACGACCTGGCGGACGGGCCGGGCCGGCGGCGCGTGCTGCCGCCGCTGTCGCTGGCGCTGGGCGCGCCGGCCGCCGCCGCCGCCGAGTCGCCTTACCTGCCGATGAACGTGTCGCCGAGCGCCGGCGCCGCCCGCCACGGCACGCCGGCCGGCGCCGACGCCGCCTACCTGCCCATGTTCTACTCGGGCGGCGCCGGACACGCCCGACAACTGCGTCATCAGTCCCAGTGAGTGTCGCGGCGCCGGGCCGGCCCGCAGGCTGTGTATCTGCGATATTTTCCCTGCGATGGTCTCCGTGGGACCGTGAGACGTGAGACCACTTCGGCATTTCATTCGCCGCACTCAGCCAGCGGTGTTGTGCTGTGCGGTCGGTCGGCGGTCGCCTCGGGTGCCTGCCAGAGCGGTGATACCGAGTGGCGTCAGCCAGCTGACCTGACCTGACCTGACCTGACCTGACCTGACCTGACCTGACCTGACCTGACCTGACTTGACCGCAGCGCCGAGCCAGGGCCACCTAGGCCACCACAGCCGCGACTCCAGCCTCACCGAGGACAGCTATGTGCCGATGCTGCGTGTGGCGGCCGACATCGGCGCCGACGACGCCAGCTACATGTCCATGAAGCCCGGCCTGCCGCCTCTCTCGGACGGTACGTCCCGGCGTCTGACACCCGGCCGCGACATGCGCCTGACGCTGTTCCCGAGCCAGGCAGTGCACAAGCTGCGGGGGGAGGAGGAGGAGGGGGGGGGGGGGGTGGCAATCTTTCCGCTCGGTCGGCAGGAAATCGTGTTGCTTTCGTTTTTCAGTGGATTCATTGAGTTTGAGTGTATGTGACGTGTGACGTGTACGCTGCTGACGTCTGTATGTGACTTGTCTGCTGCTGGACGTCCGTGTTTGATGTGTGACGTGTCCGCTGCTGACGCCCGGGCTTGACGTGTGACGTGTCCGCTGCTGACGTCCGGGCCTGATGTGTGACGTGTCTCCTGCTGACGTCCGTGTTTTACGAGTGACGTGTCCGCCGCTGACGTCCGTGCTTGACGTGTGACGTGTCCGCTGCTGACGTCTGCGTGTGACGTGTTACGTGTCCGCTGCTGACGTGTGTGTGTGTGTGACGTGCGACGTGTCCGCTGCTGACGTCCGTGTTTGACGTGTGACGTGCCCGCTGCTGATGTCTGCGTGTGACGTATGACGTGTCCGCTGCTGACGTGTGTGTGTGTGTGTGTGTGACGTGCGACGTGTCCGCTGCTGACGTCCGTGTTGACGTGTGGCGTGCCCGCTGCTGATGTCTGTGTGCGACGTGTGACGTGTCCGTTGCTGACGTCTGTATGTGACGTGTTACGGGCCCGCTGCTGACGGCGTGTCCGGGTGGTCGGCAGACATCAGCCACAGTCGCAGCTCCAGCGCGGCGGACCAAGACGGCTACGTGCCGATGGTGCCCGGTCAGCTGTCGTTCAACCGTCGACGCCCGCAGCCCCTACATGGACGTGCAGACCGGGCAAGCGGGCCAGCAAGATATCAGACGGTAGGTGCAACTGCCGGGCTGTCAGCCGCCGGGTCGCCGGCTGGGTCAGCCCGGCCATCAGTGGTGGCCGCCGTTTGGCGGGGGGGGGGGGGGGAGCGGAGACGGGGGGCGTGTCGTGGGCCTCTGCCTAGCGGTGATGAGGTCGGAGCCTCAGCGGCCGCGACCCGCCCAGTACAGCTGCCCTCTCCGTTTCAGACTGGAACCCCCTGAGTCTAGGTATGTGGGTGGTTGGGCGTGGCAGCGCGCGCGCAGGCGGCCGCCGGCCCATTAGCTCCGCACCTCGCCTGCCGCCGTGCGGCCGGCGCCCACGTAGCTCGTGTGCACGGCCAGCGGCACCTGTGCACCAACCGGCGCACAGACCGTGGTGTGTGTGTGTGTGTGTGTGTGTGCACCGCCCCCCGTGTCACGCGGGGTCTGCACCGCAGCGTCTGGGCCGCCCCTGTGCCCCGCACCCTTGCTCACAGCGCGTGTGGGTGCGGAGTGTGGCATCAGGAGGGTCAGGCCTGTCACGACGGTGCTCGAGGTGTTATTGTCGTCACGACCCTGGGCAAATGTAGCGGCTTTCATACCCTGGTGTGTCCTTTGCGTTATGACCTGATGTAAGGTGGAGGCGGCAGACTCGTGTCCCGGAAGATGCTTACCGCCGAATATGACTATATGAATTGTCAGGTCTTCGTGACCCGAATGTTTCACTCGTGGTGTAGAAGTTGGGAAATTGGCTCTCCGCAGTTGGTATTGTGGTATATCCCCTGGAATTACTACCACAGAATGTATGAGACCCCCTGGCGAAACGGAGGAGCTCAGTGGACCGCGACGCCACGCACTGTCCCTGCGGCATCCGCTGTGTTTCTGAATGTTCCACTGCGACGATGGTGTTCCTGTGAGCGGCCCCCTCTGATTGGCCGGGCGCCGCTGCGGCAGACTCGTACGCCGAGGTGTCGCCGGCCTCCAGCTGCAGCCTGACGTCGGGCACGCCGCTGTCGGAGCCGCAGCTGGAGCGCACGCCGCTCACCGTGCTGACGCCGCCGTCCGAGGACGCGGCGGCGGCCGCAGCGGCGGCTGGCCGCCACGGCCCGCCCGCCGCCGACCCGCATAACAGGTACGGCAGACCGCACGCTGGTCGTCCGGGCTGGACGCTGGAGTGGCGGACGCGCTCTACCAGCGCGTGTCGGCGTATCCCATCAAACCCGCGCGTGACGTCATCACCAGCGTGCATCGTTTGGTGGTGCGGTATAGAAGACATGTATTGTACCTCGGATTACAATGTACATTGTATGGTGCATGTGCCTCGGATTTAAACCTTATTATTGCGCTGATGACTCAGAAATAAGTTTGCTCCCCGGCGTTGGCTGTGGTCCTAGGTCGTTATCGTGTCAGCGCCCTAAGTACTCGTCTGTCGCGATACCCTGGGCTCATCACGTGCCGCCGCTGTGGCGGAGCGGCGCGGGGAGCCGGCAGCGGGTGGCGCGCCATCGCCGCGCCACCTGCGGCCTGCTGCTGGGACCATGCCGCCGTCGGCAGGTCGGACACGGAGAGCATGCGGACGCGCGCCTCGTCGCTGGGCAGCCGGCTGAGTCACGCGCTGATGCCGCGCCGTCGTGACCAGCTCCGAGAGCGACTCCACCTCGACCGAGCGGCCACTCCACCGGCGAGCCGGGCGGCGCCGGCAGGTCAGCCGATCGGGCACAGCGCTCACCGGGCACCGCCGAGGAGGGGTCTCTCCTAGGGTGGCTCCAGTCTCTGGTGGGAGCTGTGCCCCGTTGGGTCCCGTCTCCGGTGGGGGTCTGTCCTCGCGTGGGTCCCGTCTCCGGTGGGGGTCTGTCCTCGCGTGGGTCCCGTCTCTGGTTGGGGCCGTGCCCCCGTGGGTCCCGTCTCTGGTGGGGGGCTGTGTCCCGGTGGGTCCGTCTGGTGGGGACTGTGTCCCGGTGGTCCGTCTCCGTTGGGGGTCTGTCTCTCGCGTGGGTCCCGTCTCCGGTGGGGCCGTGCCCCCGGTGGGTCCAGTCTGGTGGGGGCCGTGCCCCCGTGGGTCCCGTCTCTGGTGGGGGCTGTGTCCCGGTGGGGTCCGTCTCCGTTGGGGGTCTGTCCTCGCGTGGATCCCGTCTCCGGTGGGGGCCGTGCCCCGGTGGGTCCCGTCTCCGGTGGGGGTTTCCCTGATGGTGTCGTGTAAGCAAAGTTCCCTGCGTAGCAGTCCCGCCCAACCCTTATCTGCTTGCCATTGTAGCAACGTTCATTGCCGTTCGACGCGGTGTTTTCCAAACGATGCGTCGTGCGTCGTAGTTCATTATGATGACGTATGTGGGAAAAGTACTTACGATCAAAACATATCTGTGATAACTTTATCCTCGTCATAAACCAGTCACAGCCATCGTACCGTTGAACTGTACCGTTGTGAACTAAACCTCCATACGTCACGGGTTCCACGATTCCAGAGAAACGCGTCCCACGTACCACTTAATATACACAGATAGGAGCTGTCACCAATACCCTGGACCCAAGCTCTAGAAGAGTCACACCAATGCTCAGAAATATTAGTGCGTGTCAGTTTGCCTTGTTGTTATATGTATTGTTCAATTGAATGGAAAAAGCCTTCAGCGATGACATTGGCTGAGCAGTAGCGCACCAGCCTCATGCGTGCTGTTGTGCACAGTCGTGCCCGCCGCCGCCGCCCGGCCGTGCTGACCCCGTCTGTGGTGCGCGCGCGCGCAGCTCGGCGCACCCGTGCGGCTCGCCCAGCCTCAGCTCGTCGCTGGACTCGACGGTGACGTCGCTGAAGGACTATTACCGCCGGCGCAGGAAGGGCTCCGAGCTGCGCGAGGAGGCCGGCAGCCCCGCCGCCGAGTCCAAGGGCAGCCAGGACAGCCTGCGTCACCGGCCGCGCAGCAACTCACAGAGCAGCCAGGGCAGCGACAAGGTGAGGCGGCTCGTGCCGAGGACGTGCCGCGCGCCGCCGGCGCCGCCGGTGCGCGCCAACACCCTTCGGCAGGCATTTGCGCGCGGACATTTCACGGAAGCGGACGCTTCGGAAGGTTCGCTTTTCTTTCGCGTCACTAGATGCCTAGTATCCGGTCGCCATGCCCTCTCATGCCTGTCCAAGTGCGGGCGTGAAGAAGTGGTGAGTAAGTGCGGGTGTACGTGGGTCGTGCGTCTGGCGTGTCGCGATCCCCTGTCGTGGCCCCTCACGTCCGGGGGCCCGTGCGCAGGCGCACAGCGGCTGGCGGCTGCTGTTCAAGCGGCGCGACAAGAAGAACGGCTCGGCGCCGGTGGACGTGCCGGCCGGGCGCGGCGGCTCGCCAGCCGGCTCGCACATGTCGCGCTCCCCGGCCCGGCCGAACTGGCCGCGCGCCAGCCGCGCCGCGGCGACGACGACGCGTACGTGGCACTGGGCCCGGTGGCCCGCTCGGGTGGCGGCAGCCGGCGCCGGCGGCCCAAGCGGCGCGAGCAGCCGGCGCCGGCCGTCCACTACACCGACGACTATCTGGCGATGGGGCCGCTGAACCTGGACGACGACACGTCGTCCGGCTCGCAGGCAGACTCGCTGAAGCGGCGCCACGCGGCCGGCCGCAAGACGTCGGCGCCGGCGGCCGAGCCGA